ATATAATAAAAAATTGTAGCTAAAAAGTGGCTATCAATTGGCCCTTGATGTTGAAATTGACCATGAACTACGGCCAAACTCCTCCCTGGACCAGTCTTATGGTTATGGCGACTTGTCGTCTGCCATCGGCTTTCGGGATAGTGTTGGATGCGTATGGTTCATTACTTTATCGGGAGAAAATCTCCAGGGACGCCAATCTTGTTTTCATGGCTTGGCTTGAAATTCTTGGCACAAAATTCAATACGTATTTAATGAGTGTAATTTATCGGTTAAATATTATTTTTTATTTTTTATTTTTTCTAACAAATTGTCAAAAAGATGAATTTCGAAAAAAGAAAATACATATCAAGTTGTATCTAAAAAAAAATACATATCAAGTTCACAAGTTTTTAGTTGACCTAAAAGGGCATGTGTAATTTTTGTACTCATATAATTTTTATTTCTCAATTATTTTATATATTTATTTAATCTCTTAACTTTAAAAATTACATAAATTTAATTTCTCTTTCAATCCATTAACCCAATACATGTGGCATTTTTTTATTTATTTTAATGACATGCATAATATAACTAAGAAAAAATATTTACTGAATTAAAACTTATGCCATCTCATGTTCCCACTTATAAAATAATTAATGAGTTGAGCTTATTTCAATACTTAATTAAATCAATTACCACTAAATATCCTCTATCATCGAAATTTGATTAACAGCAAATCATCTTTTTAGTTCTCAATCCAACACTGCAATAAAATTTCGAACAATTCAAACTCAAAGAACAACACTCTGTTTGGTTTCCAAGAAAATGCAGTAGAATAACAAAAAAATCAACTTTAAGCACATCAAAATGAACCCAAAAAATTTAGGTATTAAAGTCTAAAATCTGAGTTTGAATGAACCCAAAAATTTGGGTTCAAACGAATGCTGAATTTGTGTCCGTTTGAGCTTAGTTTTGCTAGGCTCTCAGCGCATTCTTGTTTGCATTTCCACCAGATAAACTTGCAAAAAAATTAATTCAATGCAACAAATTCTTATACAAGATCTCAATAAATCCAAAAAATAATTAAAAAAATCTTAAAAGAAAAACAAAATCATCCAAATTCTTCACAAAACAAAAAGAGATCTAAAGAAAGAAATTATAATATTGTTTACACATATTATTGCAAATTATTTAAAAAGAGTCACATGTCCCATTTATTTTGAATTTAAAAGGATCAAGAGTTAGCAATTGCAGTCTTGTTTTTCAATTAGTTTGGACAATTGTTACCACATAGTTAGCAGATTAGTTGGTTTGTTACAAATTTTTAGCATGTTGCTTCTAATTTTCAAGATTCTACTGTAAATCTACACTTTACTATCGTTTATTTAGGAGGTTATTACAAATTTCATGCTATTGTTGGTTTTCAAGAAAACACCATGTTGTGTGCTATAATTACTTGACAATAAGATCAAGTGAAGACCGACCTCTCACACAACTAGCCCTATGCTATTTATATTTCAATTTTTTTCAAGCAATATCTTAGTTCAAATTTAACTTTTTAAAACAGGTTCCCAATTTAGTTTTACACTTCAACCTTTATTTCATTCTTTATGCTCACGTGCTTTCATGGTAATGCAAATCTAGCTTTTTCAAACAGGGTTCACAATTTAGTTTTACACTTCAATCTTTATTTCATTCTTTATGCTAACATGCTTTCATGGTAGCATTATGCTCCTTCTAGTAATTTAGTTTTCTTGCCATCAGTTTCTTTCTTCTCTTTTCCTTTATTTTTCTCTTTTATCTTGATAAACAAACTAACATTTTTCGCTTTAGTTGCAGGAAGTCCCTAATGTTCTTTTATGATAATTATTTAGGCA